CCCCATCTCACAGCCATCCAATCTGAATAGATGGTTGTAATAACTTAAGCCATAATGTCACAAGTGATCCATTGATCGTTTGATCTAAATTAGACACCTCAGAGTATTTATGTTGATTTTTTTCTACAAATCAAATGAAATTTGGTATGTATCATTATCTCAATGGGACGCAACAGAAAAAGAAAGTTTAAAAACATTTTGAAAAAATAAAATGAGTAAGTTTTTTAGTCATTTTATTGTATCGAGAATTTTTTTTAAGTTTTTATTAGTGGGAGTTTAAAAAAGGAATGGACGTCCCAATTATTATTTTTTAACGGGTCCCAAATTTGAATCATAATACGCCCAACACAACCGAATATGCAATACAGTGTTTAGTCACTTGTGGAACAACGTATTTTTCACTTTTTTTACTCGAAACCACAGCTTTCAACATGTTCATTATTTTGCACCATCCTTTCCATATTTGGTACTCCTCGTGATAGGTTTCTAGAAACATTTTTTCCATTGAATTAGACATCATCATTTCTCCCCCTCTATTTCCAATAATTCAGCGATGGACATCCCTACATACACAATCAATTTACTTGAGAAAACTAGTCTCTCATACGATATGTAATTTTCTCAAAATATTAAATCCAATATAATAGATTTATATGCAATGATTAACTGAGAAAATAAATTCCAACAGCAAAGAACATTAACACATTCACAATCACACAAGGAACCTAAGGTCTTTTTTTAATGTGATAAAACCCTAAATTAGGGAAAAATCCAATATCAATTTATGATAAAATTTTTATTAAAAGGGAAAATTAAAAACAAAACCCAAAACTACACTTTTCATGTAACTTATCGCCAACTTAACTTTTTCTCTTACTTTTGTCTCCAAAATATATTTTCTATACAAAAACCCCAGCCAAATAAAAAATAAAAATATACTTAAACTATCCTTCCTTACTTTTACTTTACCCATGTCTCTCTTTCCTCTATCCCACCAAAATAGGGGCTCCGACACCGTGTAAGTGCTGTCCGACAGTAGCTCTCTAGTAAGTACTATGTAAAGTTCGGTCTAGGACTAAGGCTCCCATACTGTGTAAAGTGCGGTCTGGCAATAGGGCTCTAGCACTATGTAAAGTTTGGTTCAGGAGTAAGGCTCTGGCACTTTGTAAAGTGCCATCTGGCAGTAGGGCGCGGTCCGGCAATAGGGCTCTAGCACTATGTAAAGTTTCGTAAGGCTCTGGCACTATGTAAGGTGCGGTCCGGCAATAGGGCTCTAGCACTATGTAAAGTTTCGTAAGGCTCTGGCACTATGTAAGGTGCGGTCCGGCAATAGGGCTCTAGCACTATGTAAAGTTTCGTAAGGCTCTGGCACTATGTAAGGTGCGGTCCGGCTCTGGCACTATGTAAGGTGCGGTCTGGCAGTAGGGCTCTGGCACTGTGTAAAGTGTGGTCCGGCAGTTGCAAAGGGTGGTCCAACAGTTGCAAAGGGCAGTCCGGCACTTGTGCGTTCCGACAATGTGATGGTGCGCTCCGATAATGTACTACTGGGTCCAAATTGATTTTTATGTACGGGAAGGGCATTTCCATTTAAAAATAAATTTTTTCCTTTGAGGGTTTCATAGAAAGTTTGTTTTGGAAAAAAAAATAAGAAAAAATTAAATTGAGAGTAAGTTGCATAGAAAATATTGTCTTCGAGTTTTTTGTAATTTCTAAAAAGAAGTACAACCCTTCATGCATCTACTTCTCCTCTTATCCGTTTTTCCATATCGTTGTAGAGAGCCCCCAATAATAATTGCCCTAATTGATTGAGAAACTGCTACAAGAATATATAGTTTGAAACTCCATAATTACTTTATTATATATTTTCTCTTTATGAATAGTAAATCCGGATTATCCAATGGCAGCAAACCTTAGAGCAGGGCTTTTGCTTTTGCTTCTGCTTCATTTCCTATGCATAGCCATATTGGTCGTGAGACAAGTCTTCGTTTTTAACGCGACTTTTTTTAAAAAGGGCTTTTTAAAAATATATATTTAAATCTACGATATTTTCAAAACATCGGCAAAAAAACGTGTTATTTTCACAAAAAACATTTAATACGCACCCTATTGAACTTCATGAAAAAAAATGGACCAAAAATAATTTTCAATTTATTCCTGTATACTTTTTTATTTTTAAAAGATAAATACCTTTTTCCTATTTTAAGTAACATCTATTATCATCCTTTCTATAAAAAACTTATTATTTTCCAACAGATTTATATTCCCTACAAAAGAAATGTTTATCCCCAAGCACTGGGGTTATATGTTTGTAGGTTTTATTATCTCATTACGGTTTATGCTCAATTCGTATTCTTCAAAGCCATAGTTGCAAATTAAAGGTATGAATTTTTATTTTTTATTTTAACATGAACGTATAGGTGCAAATTTTGCTAATTGTTGTGGAAAATCATTGTCTAATGTTCAAATTTCTTGAATTAAGTTTCACTTTATTTCTTCTCTGGTTTGGGATGAACTATAATTTATTTGTGATTTTTAATTAAATTTTATTTTATTTGTGATTAATAATAATTATGGAAATACGTTATTTATGGCATAAGCTCTGTTGAAACTTGAAAGAGATTTGGCAATCTCATGACAATTTCACCTCATAAATTATAATAAAAAAGCATAAAACCATTTAATCAAAAACCCCAATTTTTGGTTGACGAAATTCCACAGAAACTCATCCAAATTAGGGCTCAAAGACCATCCAGATTATCACAATTTCTACAAATCCTTAAAACAAAAGCTTTAAAATAAAATACAAACTAGGGATCAATCCTCAAACCTAACTCATGATAGAACACTCGGCTTAGGGTTTCATATCCACAACCTTCTTCACATTCTCTGGGCTTTTGTGTCCACCATCTTGTTCCTACTCTTCTGCATTTGCTCCCTCTCTCTCTCTCTCTCTCTCCACTCCAATTTTAACTTTAAGTCTTGCCTCTTTCAGGTGAGGTTATAAGGTGTCAACTTTAAACAATCACTATAAGGTGCCCCTCAAAATCTTGTAAGATGTATTTTAGGTGTTGAAACTCTTATGATTGTCCTAAAATGTATTTTTCACCCTATCATGAAAGTAAAAGCTCAAAAAATGGTGCAGATCTAGCAAATCTATAAACACTTAAATATCTTGATAATATACGATCTAGATAATGTGTTACAGGATGTACTATTATTAATACTTGAAATTCAATTTATTTTTTTTATACTCATAAATATTGAAGTAGAGATGATCAATTTGAGAGTTTTCTAATGATGAAACAACTTTTCCAATGAGTTTTGAGATGCCCCTTACTTGTACATTATAAGGTTGACACCTTATATAAACTTTTTCCCTCTCTTTAATACATTGCAATGTTAAAGTCTTTAATATTATGGGATATTTAATATGGTATAACTTACTCATGGATGTAAGAACTAATATGTTGTAACTTATGGATCTAATACAGTGGGATATTTAATATGGTGCGATCTTAGTTTCTAGATATATCTAAAATTTTCATCAATTTTATCATTTCATTTTGTTTATTTCTACTTAATTTTATTTTGATTATGTATAATGCAAATTAAACACATATTTACTTTCAATAATTTCATTAAATAGCCTACCATGCTATTTTATCTACACATTAACAAGTTAAGCTTGTGGATTTCTTTGAGGTGGTTCATCTTAAGTGCATGAACCCCTAATGTGTGTGTTAAAATATTGTTTATTCATTAACATATTCTTATAATTTTAGATTATTAATTTGTGGATGTGTACTTATATTTTTTATATTTTTTATTTGATTTTTTTAAAAAAGAGAAGAAACAGTGGTTAGGTCAAAAGATCTTTTTTGGGATTAATTTGATTAAAGAGGAAATAAATTATATTGCAAATTTTGTGGCGAAGGTTTTTCTGCAAGGGTTATAAGATTCAAGTATCACTTGTCAAGCTAACATGGGAATGATATAATACCTTGCCTTCAAGTACTTGATGTACAAGCTTTGGCAGTATGCGCAACACATAGGGTATCCTCTAAGCCCCCAAAGAATAAAAATAAAATCACATCATATGCTCAAAATATTGATCAAAGTTCCTTAGGCCTAGGTAATTCTAATTCGTCACTGTGTACCTCTACTAACATTTTTCATTTGCAACAAAATTATTCATCATCATTGTTAAACAAGAAAGATAAAGACTTTGTTAATAAAGAAGTTGCTCGTACATTTATTATGAATAATATTGCATTTAAAGTTTTCAATATACAATCATTTGTTAATATGATAAATGTATGTATCATTTTTGGAGCAGGTTACACTTTACCAAGTTACTCTTCTCTTCACACTAAATTGGTACAAGAACTTAGGATGGATGCATAAGTAACTTTAATAAAGAAGTTGTGGGTTCAATCATGAATCACTTTGATATCAAATATCGGGTTGGATATGAAAAATCAGTCTTTCCTTAATATTATTGCTTCTTGTCCAAAGACCTCAATTTTTATTAAATCATTTGAGGTATTTGAGCATAGAAAAAATTGGATTATTTCTTGGAAATGTGTTTATTAAAGTCATTGAGTGGTTAGGGCCATAAAATATTATTCAACTTGTGACTGACAATTGATCAAATTATGTAGTTGTTGGTGATCTGATAGAATCGAAATTCCCTCATATTCATAAAACACAGTATGCTGCCCATTTGTTAATTTAGCTTCTAAAAGACATTGATAAGGATGTCCGTTAGGTAACAAATGTAATTAAAGATGCTAAGTTGATAGTGAATTTTTTGTGTTGACATATCATTATTTTAAATTTAATGAGAAATCACACAAATAAAAGGGAATTGAAAAGTATGGTAAAACTATATTTGCCATTGACTTTTTTATGATTTAATTTATATTGCAAGTAAAAAGGGGTTTGAGATTGATGGTTGCATCCAAGCGGAAATCTATGGGCCATAACAAGAGTAAAAATGAAAAAGAAATCACTGAAATAATTCAAAGCTTCAAATTTTGGAATGATACAATTGATATAATCACCACATTAGAGCCTCTTGATATCAAGGTGATTCGTATGGTTGATATTTAAGGGCATGTGATACTTATGTGAAGAGATACAAAGGGAAAGGAAAGCACTAAAGATGAATTGTAATAACAATGAATCTAAATATCTTGAATTATTGAAAAAATTTGAAAAGAAGCAAAAGGAAAATAAACTTCACCCTATTCATATTGCTGCAACATTTCTTAATCTATTTTTAATGTGTGCTGGGTTTGTTAAACTTGATAATCCTGAATTGAAAAATGGCATTGCCTTATTTTCAAATACAATGATCCCAAAGAGAAAAAAAATGTATTATTTTCAAAGTTGTTGAAATACCACACACGTATTTGATGGTGTTGCAATGTGATTATTGTTAGCAACTCATTCTCATAAGTATCTTCTTGTGTTATTATGTATCTTATTATATTATTAGTTTTTTCATTATTTTTAAGAAAATATTTTATTTCACTTTTATTATGTAGGAGTTTGGTGGGAAGCATGTGGAGAAAGTATTCCACTGTTTCGAATGGTTGATATTCAGATTTTGAGCCAACCATGTAGCTCATCAGTGTATGAAAGAAACTGGAGTGTTTTTGAAGCGATAGAAACCAAAATAAATAAATAAATTGACATCAACTATGTTAACTGACTTGGTTTACGTAAGAGTGGACACGAAGATGATGACTGCATCTCGTGAAAATGAAAAATGTAATTGTAATGCAATTAATCTTAAACAACTTGATTCATTTATAGAAAAAGCTTTAAAAGAGATGGATAATAAGTATACCTCCACAAATTATGATAATCGTGATGATGATGATGATGCATGGCTACATGACTTGGGGTTTACACCTTCCCAAACTCCTAACTTTTCTATTAATTATGATGCTTTTACCATATCGTATATTTAATTTTGGATAATGCTAGTGATTATATTATGTTTTAATCATTTTGTCATTTTTGCCTTATTTTGTATCCAATCTTAGATGATGAGATGAGAGTCATGAGATATTTAAATTGATTGACTTAATTATATTAGTTTAATAAACTTCGCATGAATAAATTACTTATTGATAACTTTATGAAATGTTTTATTTTTTAGAATTTGTAGCCAATCTTAGATGATAGGATGAGGGTCATGAGACATCTAAATTGATTGACATAATTATATTAGTTTAGTAAAGTTCTCATGGATAATTACTTATTGATAACTTAGTTAAATGTTTTATTTTTTAGAATTTTAAAATTTTAAAATTTTAAACATATTTCCTCCAATAACAACTATAGTAGAAGTTGCCTAACACTCCTCCACTACCACTTCATTAGTTGTGTTGTGTTTATTTTATTGAGTTTTTTTTTTTTTTTGACAAGGTTGCATAGAAATGAAACTTCAAACAAAATCAAGCTACGATCGCCTCGACCCAAGCTCAATTCCTTATTTAGTTGAGGTTTCTAATTCCCAAACCTCTTTGTTTTTGTCAAACACACTTGTTCCGTTGCACTAAGTGAAATATATTTTTAATTCTTTGAGCCCGACCATAAAAATCTCATTATCCCCTAAATAATTGTCATTAACTCCAATAAAAAATCCATACAGGGATTTACAATAAATTAGTAAGTTTTCTGGTTAGAGCAAGTTCTTTGATGTTACTCTTCCTCCATTAGTGCTTTAGTGTGTAGCATAGGTAAATTGCCATAATGAGAGGCCTAGTAAAGCCTGATAAGGAAACGAGCAAAGACTATGATAGCAAGGACCAACTATTGGTCAGTCGTTTAGAAATTGGCTCAAGCTACGTGATTAGGATGGTGAGGTGATACACTATGGAAGATCCAACATCTTGATCATGGTAGGGGAACTTGGTCTCTTGATTGACAAGAGGAGCGTTAGCGTGCATTCATTTTCTTGCAACTAGCAACAACTAGCTTAGTGTGAAAACCGTTGCGCTAATTGTGAAAGCCGTTGCGCTAACGCGATTTGATATCTGAGTTCCATTTCTATCATGCGTAAAAGATCTTTTTTCCCATTAAACTCTTTGAGAAGTATCGACGGGCCTTTTGCCAAGAGAGTTCGACCACCCAAGAGTTTGAACCTACCCCTAATCAAACTTAACTTAGTGAATCAAAAAAGTTTGAACTTTTAAAGCTGCCACCCATGCTGCTCCAAGTAGAGAGAAAAAAAAAAAAAAACAACTATTTTTAGTAGATAGTAATCTCTTCTGAAAATGAAACAAATTAACAAACTTTATGCCACGACAATACGAATTTCTTCTGAATATTGGACGATGTGGAGTGCCCGCTTCGGGAAACATTAAGGCCATCAGCTCTTCACCACTATCTTTCTCTCTCTAGATTTATCTCTCTCTAAATTTCTCTATCGAATGCGCCCTACCCCATTCTCTCTCCTCGAAAAACATCTCTCTCTCTCTCCAAAACATCACCAAAAATGAAAAATGGAAACCTCTCTTAGAACACATTCCCTCCATGAGATTTATGATGTCCCCAGTTTCAATCCTGCGAACATTCATCCATTCTTTCTCATTTTTCTCTCTCTAAAGTCTAAACATTGATTTTTTGCAAAAATAGAGAGGCCCAAATTTCAATTTCAGCATTGCCACTTTGAGCACGTCGGTGGTATCATGCTCTCTACCCTAACCAGGTGGTGTTCTTCCAACCCAGTTACAAGTTTTTGAATTAAGCTATTGTTGAATTCTCTTACTATACTTGCTTTTCTTCTTCTTCTTTTTCTTTTTTTTAACTTGTTTTATTATCTTGGTTTTCTGGTTTTCGCCATATACCTTTAGTTGGTTTATTCAGTTTTTGTAGTTGGGTCTCTCTCTCTCTCAAAACCTGGTTTTTAGGGTTTTCTCTGTTGTGTGAGGAGTTTCAGAGTATCGTCTGTGTTTTTGGGTTAGTTGCTATTTTTGGTTTTTTATAGAAGAAATTGGACACGTCATGAATGATGTCGACCTGTGTAATGGAGAAAGGGGAATAGATGGGCATGTTTGGGTGAAGAGAAGGATGATTTGGAGTGCAATGATGATGGGTTAGAGAGAGTACCTATACATTGTTGGGTGAGTAGGGATTGGGGTTGGGAGAGTCACTGCAGCGATATTCAGGTTCTAGGTTAAAGAATTCGGGTTAGGAAGACCTCTGTAATTTTTAGGCCTGGTTTGGATGGTGCAGTAATGGATAGTGGTGAAGGGGGAATGGACGGGTTGGATAACAAGAAGGTGGGTCTAAAGAGAAACCTGAAATCCATAGAATTTCAGGGTGATTCAGACGATGAGTTACCTATAGGAACCCTATTCAAGATCAAGAAGTTACGAAACCCTAAAACGAAAAAGTCTGACAATGAAGAGGGCTCTGAAATTAGGGCAGAGGATTCAAAGGTCAGTGAGGAGGTCTCTGTTAATGTCAACATTGTCGCAGACATGGATGATACTTTAGCTAATTTCAAGAAGAAATTGAAGGTGCCAAAGATAGTTAAAGAGTCAAGTGAGAGCAATTGTTTGGTTTCAAAGCAATCCAGAGTGAAATTGTCGAAAAAGTTCACTAGAGCTTTAAAAGGTCAGCCTTCTGTTGTTGATGAATCTAGGTCACTGCTTTCGACTAAGTCTACAAGGCCTCGCTCTTCTTCTATTGCAAAACCTGTTGAGGAAACCCTAAAGTTTGATGATGGGTCTGATCAATCAGATGTAGTCAAGGAGGATTCACTTCTTTCTGCCCTAGTTCCGAAATCTCGAGCTGCTTTGATTCGTAAGAAAATTGGAGAAACCCTAATTTCTGATGATGTGCAACAAAAGGTCTCCGATAAGAGCCCTAAAGACTTTTTGATCTCAGCACTGGTTCGAAAGACACGTTCTGCTTCTCTGAGGAAACAGAGAGAGGAAAATTTGAGGACTGAGGACCCTTTGGATCGACCATCTGTTGAGTTGTTGAAGGATTCATTGCCCGCCCCAGTTCGAAGATCCCGCTCTGTTACATATCAGAAGAAGGGAACGGAGACCCGGAGGTTTAATGATGGATTGAACCAAAGCATTGATGTAAATATGGAGATATCTATCCCTGTTTCATTAATGAAATCTCATTGTGCTGCCATAGATGAGCAGATGAGAGAAACCCCAAGCTCTGATAGTGGTTTTGAGGAGGTTTCTGTCGAAAATTTGAAGGATTCACAGTCTGCCCTACTTCAGGAATCTGGTTCTGGTTCAATGCTCAAGAAGAAAGAGGAAACCCTGATGAGTGTGGATGAGTTGGATCTGTTTCAAATTACAGGTACGACTACAGGTGCTGGTATTTTAAAATTGACAGAAGATACTCAGAAATCAGGTGATAGTTTCGGTCAAACTAGAGGAGTTCAAGAAGACGGGTGCTCTCCACTTGCTCAGAATCACCATTTCGCTTCACTTTCACTTGCGACAGATGAGACCAGGAGATCTGATGGAACTTCAAATGACTCGTCCTCAGGTGTAATTCAAGAGTTTAGTTTGGTTTCCCTTTCAAAGCGGTTGGCTCAAGTCCCACTAAACAGTGGTATTTCCGATGGTGGGCTAAGGCAACAAAGCTACTCCGAACTACAAAATTTGCAGTTCACACAGGTATTGGAGTCCTGTAACTTTTCCCAAGCTAAGATGCCCAAGAAAATTGATAGGCTTGATGATGGGTCATCTCAAGCTTTTGATAGAATTTTAGATGATGAACTGAAGGCTTTCCCTTCAGTTGAAATTAACAGAGATTCTCCACGTGCCCAAGTTCAAACATCTTTTTCTGCTTCTCTACCAGAGGACAGATCGGGTGGGTTGAATCACATTTCGAACGCAAATCAGATGCAGGACTTGCAGATGGAGAATGAAGGATTGAATAAATCTGTTGCCCTGAGTTCAGTTCCAGTTAAGGACTCAAGTTCGCCAAGGCTTGATGGAGGTCTCAGTCGATGTTACGGGTTTGTTTCAAATGATGGGTTTTCACCTTATTCTTCTACTCTAGATCAGGCATTGTTTCCTAAGCCGGAGGTTTGTGTGGATCAGGCCCCCGATGGAGCTTTGGGACATAAACAGTTCTTCGATTCAAATGATGGGTTGAATCCACTTTCTGATGAGAACCAAACTTTTCAGAAGCCAAATTCAGCTTTTGTCTATGAGGAAGAAACCCCCATTTCTGAAGATATTCCAAATCAAACATCTGAAGATTTCTCAAAGGATTTACCTTCTACACAAGTCCATGAATCTTGTAGTTTTGCTACAGAAAAGAACAAAGAGGAAATTCCAATGTCTAGTGATGGCTCAAAAGGTTGGGTTCTTGTGACAATTTGATTGTCTATTTATTCAAAGCAATTCATCGGTTCCTTTCCGATGAAATCTTAAGAGATTATTTTATCCTGATCATGCAGGAAAGACATCTACTTTAGAGAAGAAATCTCAGAGGCTGACTGCTGCCCAACGAGTGTTGCGAAAAGTGAAGAGGCGGAGATATGGTGACATGACTTATGAAGGAGATAGTGATTGGGATGATGTCTTGATGCATGAGGAGAGATCCTTTTCTTTAGATGATGAAGATCGGTTGACTAGAAGCAAAACTAGGCCTGATTCTTTTTCAAGTTTGTTCCTTGATGCTGATAGTGGTGCTGCAGCAGCTGTGGCAGCTGGGTTGAAAGCTCGTGCTCCCGGTCCAGCTGAAAAGATAAGATTTAAGGAAGTTCTGAAACGTAGAGGAGGGCTACAGGAATATCTTGAATGCAGGTATCCTGTCTTCATAAATGGCCTAGAGTTCAATGATTCTGTTATCAATATTTTTTTCATTTTTTAGTCTATGGACCGTCTAACACATGTTCTTTACCTAAGCTTTGGATTGATATTCGTGTATAGACTGTAGTGTGCTCAAGATTCTTGTATCAGAAAGTGTGCTATAATTGAATGGATCGGTAATATACTCATAATCCATTGGAGCAATTCCTTAATATTCAACAAGTGGGATGCGACCGCTCAGGTGGGCTCCCAGGAAGAAGGATAGGTAAAACTACCAACATCCCTCCCTCATCCCAAAAAAAATAAAAATAAAAACCAAAAAAAGGGGCGGGGGTTCTTAGAGCAGGGGTTTAGGCCCCTCCTTAGGGAGTTTTTGGGCAGTTTTAGAGGCCCAAAGCCCCTGAAAAAAGAAGAAGAAAGAAGGTAATTACAGAGTAGATGGGCACAAACATCATCAAATTGCAACAAAACTCAAAAAATAGGTAATTATAGAGTAGATAGACACAAACATCATCAAATTGCAACAGAACTCAATATGAATTCGATATAGGTCCAAACTGGGAAATATTCGCAACACATTTCAAGCTTTCAACTTTCAAGTACAAAAATGTGAAAATATCAAAAAAAGGAAAGAAGAATATCAAATGATTCAAATCATAGTACATTATACGAAAAAATACAATTCCTAATTCAAATATTGTAATGCACTAACCTTTCAAAATGAAATTGATATCGGCCCAAAGTGGTGATCTTTGGTCGCCAAAAGTCCTCTCGCGACCACTCCAAGCTCCAAAAACTATCTCGAAGTATCTCTTTTCTTTTCGCAAGAAACTGAAAAAGATTGAAATTTTTTCGATCTTGCAAAAAAATCTCAAATCCCAAGTTTTCTGAGAGTTTTTCTCTCTTCTAGGATGCACAAGAGGGGTTTTGGGGACTAGAATGTCCCCCTGAACCCTTCCACCCCCGTTTTTAAGGAGAAATGGGGTGGTGGGGGAGTCTGAAAATGCCCCCGGCCAAGGGCATTTCCCCCCTGGGCCTCCCTGTCTCGGGGCGTTGCCTAGGCACCCGCCTTAGGGCAGGCGCCTAGACCCACAACACCTAGCTGGCCTGCCTAGGCGATTTGGCTTCCTGGCCGCCTAGGCAGGGGGGGGTTGATTTTTTGAACATTGCAATCACTGTCCAGTAGAGAAAGAGTGGGACTCACTATTAGGGTCATGTCCTCCTGTGGTGGGTCCCACTTTCTTTCCATCCACGGATGGTCTTAGCTTAAATAGACAGAGTATGCCGCAGTCATTTTGATAGCAGTACTTTTTTGGGGGCAAGTTATTATAGTTTGCTTTTCTTCTTGCATTTGAAGCAATAGCTTCACATACTGTCATACTATGTTTGTTGTTTTTTATATTTCCGATAGTGCAAGCATCCTAATATGATCAGAGGACAAGGGTTGCATATGGAATGGGCTAACATGGGATCAATATTTAAACTTTTACCATGTTTGACCTTATCTTGTCATGGCAAGTTTTGACCAGGTTGCCATATTTAATTTCTTCATATTGAATGATGAGTTTGTCTTTGGAAATTTTATGTGCTAATCGACAACTTCAATCATGACTGCTTGTCTACTTTACCAGCATAATTGGACATTCTATAGCTTCTTAAAGGGAACTAGACTTGCAAGGTCTAAAATTTTGATATTGTTCTCCCCTTAGTGATCTGTGTTACTGTGAGATTAGAGCATTGAGGTGACCACTCACTTTCTGATTTTTTGTATGTATAATATTGCAGGAATATGATCCTAGGTCTTTGGAGTAAAGATGTATGTCGCATATTGCCTCTGTCAGACTGCGGGATAACTAATGTTCCTCTGGAAGATGAATCACCACGTGCTGCCCTTATTCGAGAGATTTATTCATTTCTGGACCATCATGTAAGTAATTTTTTCCTTGGTAGTGATGTTAAGTGCAGGTAAGTTTGAAATGGCATCTCATGAGGTTGAATTCAAATTATTTATTTCATGATACCCCTATCCCTTTTGAAGGTTACTTCTGCATGTCTGTTGCCTTTTTAATTTTATAAAATCAAATTATATGTTAATGTATATGTTGAATAATTTTATGGATGGCTCAGCTTAAAAAATAATAATTTTATGGATGGCTACCATCAAAAAAAGGAAAAAACAATTTATGGATGTATGACTCGAACTATTCATGTTCTTCATTAGGGAAAGGAATATGACTGCAACGTCAGTCCAATGTGCTCAACTTAGTCAAAAAGGAAAAAAACAACCTCTGCTAAGAGCATAGTCCAAACTAATTTGACCTTCAGGCCAGTGTCCATCACATTAAAATGTGGAACAAAGTAAAAAAATATTTATAAAATAAAAATACTGACAGGAAAGGAAAGAATGAAGAAAACAAGGACAGCATATATGATGGATCCTTATTTTGTAAATTAGTATTTCTAGAATGCTAAGAATATTGGCATATCATAGTCATTTTGTAAAATCTTCTCTTGTCATTTCATTTACTCATACTAAGCATCTGTTTGAGAAGAAAATAGATATATTAAACCATGCAGACATTTGTGCTTAACTAGCTGAATAATTATCAGCCATATTGAGTTTTGATCTCCTCTAGGAGATTGAGGATGAACGAAAACTTGTAATAAATGCATTTAAGCCCCATATGAAGCACAACCACTGGATGAATCCTGCTTTGCTGGAACCATAATCTGGCAAAGTTTAAGCCAGGAAGGCGTTACATATGGGAAACATTCCCTGAAAATATCTCAACATAAATGGGTAGATTTGCTTCACTTAATGGTGATAGATATGCGCAAGTCCTTTTTTGATTCCTTAGATCCCTGATGTTTTTTTTTTTTGGAGAAAAAAAACTTTAAACACATGTAATTCAAGTACTAATATGCCTTGAGCAGGGTTATATAAATGTAGGCATTGCTGCTGAAAAAGAAAATTCAAGAAACCATGGAACTCCTCAACTGAAACTTGCAAGAGGAAACAAAACTCGAAGTAGTTATGAAGGCAAAGTTGCTGCTGATTCTGAGGAGGAAGTTGCTTACATTCTGGGTCAGGTCAAGACTTCTGAGAATGTTGGGTTGGTTCAGAATGATGGCCCCCATGAAGATGGCCTACCAACTATACCCACTTCAAGCCTTGATGCTAATTATGTGGAACCCAACAAAGGTCATCTGTACCCCACGGTGGCAGAGCCATTGTCTCTTAAAAATTCTGGAGAACTGGGAATTGATCCTCATGCTGGCTTCGTTCTCAATCATAACCAAGCTTTGTACAAAGAAGATGGATTTGATGAGATAGACAATCAAAGGGCGCTTTATGTTCAGTCGCTTGAGAGTGAGACTATTGAAAAGGGGGTTAGGTTGGATCCTTTTGTGCTGAATGGTGTCATTGAGACCTCAATGGAATCCGGTGAAAAGGTGATTGTTATTGGGGCAGGTCCCGCTGGTTTAACGGCCGCACGACATTTGCAACGTCATGGTTTTCGAGTCTGTATTCTTGAGGCTCGTAACAGGATTGGAGGTCGTGTCCACACAGATCGTTCATCTCTTTCTGTTCCTGTTGATCTTGGTGCAAGCATTATAACTGGGGTGGAGGCGGATGTTGCAACCGAAAGGAGACCGGATCCTTCTTCCTTGGTTTGCACACAACTCGGTCTTGAGCTCACTGTGTTGAACAGTGAGTGCCCTCTATATGATATTGTGTCCGGTGTAAAAGTTCCTGGTGATTTGGATGAAGCCTTAGAAGCTGAGTATAACAGTCTTCTCGATGACATGGTTGTGCTTGTTGCCCAAAATGGTGAAGCTGCAATGAAGATGTCACTTGAAGATGGGTTGGAGTATGCCCTTAGGAAGCGACGCGAGGCTCATATCGCTAGTGTGACTCCAGAGTTAGATCTGCTTAAAGTTAGTGATGATTTCAGCTCCTTGAACGCTGCCATTGCATTTGATAGTGAAATTTCCACAGTGGCTGAGAGCAGAACTCCGGATAGGAATACGAATAGAACTGAAGATGATGTGTTGAGTCCTCTTGAGAGAAGAGTGATGGATTGGCATTTCGCCAACTTGGAATATGGCTGTGCTGCTCAGCTTGACATAGTGTCACTTCCTTACTGGAACCAAGATGATGTCTATGGGGGCTTTGGTGGGGCTCACTGTATGATAAAAGGGGGGTACAGTACTGTTGTGGAGTCCCAAGGTAAGGGGCTTGATATTCGCTTGAATGAAGTTGTCCAGGAGGTCAAATATGTTGTGGGGCAATCAAAAGGGGAATGCCCCAAGAGAAGCGAAGTTAGGGTTTCCACAGCAAGTGGTCACGAGTTTGTGGGGGATGCTGTTCTAGTCACTGTGCCACTGGGTTGCTTGAAAGCGAATACCATTAAGTTTTCTCCTTCACTGCCTGACTGGAAGCTGTCCTCTATCCAACGTCTAGGGTTTGGGGTACTGAACAAAGTGGTCTTGGAATTCCCATTTGTGTTTTGGGATGACAATGTAGATTACTTTGGGGCAACTGCTGAGGAAACAAATCACAGAGGTCGCTGCTTTATGTTTTGGAATTTGAAGAAAACAATTGGGGCTCCTGTTTTGATAGCACTTGTGGTTGGAAAAGCAGCCATATATGGCCAGAGCATGAGTACCTCTGACCATGTTGACCATGCTGTTAGGGTTCTTCGAAAGCTTTTTGGGGAGCTTCGGTGCCTGATCCAGTTGCTTCAGTTGTGACGAATTGGGGGGATGACCCTTTCAGTAGGGGCGCTTACTCTTATGTAGCTGTCGGAGCATCTGGTGAGGATTATGATATTTTGGGGAGGCCGGTCGAGAATTGTGTCTTCTTTGCTGGTGAGGCCACTTGTAAAGAGCACCCAGACACAGTTGGTGGTGCCATGATGAGTGGGCTTCGAGAAGCAGTGAGAATTATTGATATAATGAGGAATAGCAACGATTACACTGCTGAAGTGGAGGCCATGGAGGCTGCACAGAGACAGTCGGATTCTGAGAGAAATGAAGTGAGGGACATGATGAAGAGACTAGATGCTGGTGAGCTCTCCAATGTTCTTTGCAAGGGCTCTTTGGATGGGGACCAGAAGTTGTTGACCAAGGAAGCCTTGCTACAAGATATGTTCTTGAATGCAAAGACTACGGCTGGGCGCCTATATCTGGTTAAGGAGTTGTTGCAGCTACCTATCGGTGTTTTGAAGGCATTCACTGGAACTAAAGAGGGTCTCAGTATACTCAACTCATGGATTTTGGTATGTGTGGCTTGTTTGTTTCTTTGCTCTCTTCGGTGTGCTAGGGTTTTATTTTGGCTGTTGTAGATTTGAGGAATTACTATATGTGTAGCATTCTTAGATCACAATTATGGCTTCGTAGTCCAAACCATGACCGTCAGGTTTGATTTGCTGCGAAAAAAATAATTGGACTTTGGTTCTTTTTGTCTGTTGGCCTTTGAACTGCAGATTTGATTTGTTGATGAATATTTATATTCTGTATATATAGGATTCAATGGGAAAGGATGGAACCCAGCTCTTGCGTCACTGTGTCCGTTTGCTTGTGCTTGTGTCAACAGATTTACTTTCTGTCCGTTTATCTGGTAAGGTTTTTCCTGGTTACCCATTTTGTGACCATGGTTTTGTAAAATGAAAAAATATCTATGTCAAGATGCATAATTTGGTTGCGAGCCTCTCATTACTATAATTATCTAATGGACTTAAACCATAGTCCATTAGTGTCATCACTGTTCAATGAAATGGTCTGTGACGGAGAGAGAATAGGAGCCCTCCAGAGCAAGACATGACTCAGATTTGGGGTCCCACATCCTTTCCATCGCCTGCCATTTCCTTGGCTAGTGCTGATCCATATGGAATATGAGTGCACCATAAACCATTGGATTCTAATATACTTTCCAATAAGAGCTCCTCTACATTCTCTTCATCAGATCTTCAATTTATCCTAGCTATGCCTTCTTCATTATGTATTTATATTCCTTATATGCCCACCCTTTTTTGTAGGTATTGGAAAAACAGTAAAAGAGAAGGTTTGTGTGCACACAAGCCGTGATATTCGTGCAGTTGCTAGCCAGCTAGTCAACATGTGGATCGAAGTTTTCCGGAAGGAAAAAGCTGCAAATGGGGGATCCAGGTTGTTTAAGCAAACAAGTGCTTCACTTAACACAGGTGACCCCCTAAAGATGAAGCCTAAAGATACAAGTCATGCGAAGCCTCCAACTAGGGCACCCAATGATCCGTCTGAAAGTCATACTCCTTTCCATATGCATGCTAAGAAATCAGATAACAAGCCTCTCAAATCAGAAACTGGCAATGATTCTAAATCTGAAGCCAACTCTTCACGTTCTCAAAGCCTGCTGCAAGATTCTAGGGTGGATGACAATGTCATGACCGAAGAAGAAGCTGCTGCTTTAGCAGCTGCTGAAACAGCTCGAGCCGCAGCACTTGCAGCTGCAGAGGTTGGTCATTTCAAAATCTAAATCTTGATTATTTCATTGAAGTTTCGCATAAATTAGCTCATACATTTTCCCTAGTCGATTGGTTGTATTCTTTTATTGTTTCGGAACAGATTTAGATTGTTGATATGTAATGGCTGCAGGCATATGCATCTTGTGAAGCTAATGTACTCCCTGAGCTTCCAAAAATCCCCTCATTTCACAAATTTGCTCGCCGTGAACATGTTGCTTCTAGAGAAGATTCAGATTTTAAGAAGAAAAAGTGGCCTGGAGGTGTTTTAGGGAAGCAAGATTGCTTATCGGAAATAGACTCTCGAAACTGTCGGGTTAGGAATTGGTCGGTTGATTTTGCTGCGACATGTGTAAATCTTGATGATTCGAGGATATTGGGTGAAAGTCATAATACACAGAGGGGCTACTCAAATGAGCTCTTGTCCCAGATGAATCTTAGAGAGCATTCTGGGGAAAGTGGGGCTGTGGAAAGCAGGTTTAAAAAATCATGGGTCCACAGTACCACTGGTAGTGTTTCTGGTGGAAAAGATTATCGTGCAACTGAAAGGTGGCAACCTCATCCATTTGGGGCTGATGATGTGGTATTGCATTCAGGTTTGCATGTAACAGATGAAGAAGATTCAACTAAGGCATTAAATCATCCCATTGTGAAGGTAGAAAGAGAGGGGCAAAGTAGTTGTGCTTCAGAAGCTGCTGAAAACAAAGTGATGCTGGATAATCAGGCAGGAGGGATGGATCAGTTAAAACAAGGTCTTGTGGATTATGTGGGTTCCTTGCTTATGCCTCTTTATAAAGATAAGAAAATTGACAAAGAAGGATACAAGTCGATACTGAGGAAAAGTGCAACTAAGGTAATCCATTGTGATCTATCACAGGCTATTTCTTCCCTTTTTTATTTTGTCGATTTTGCAAATCCCAAAGAAGAATTGGTTTTTTTTTTTTAGTCAACCTTGTCTCAAAAAAAAGAAAAAAAAGAATTGGGTATTTATTTATTTTTTCCTTTTTTGTTAGTCTCAAGAATTGGGTTACTTTAAGGCTTCCTTGGTAGAATATGTGCTTTTTTGCTCTTTGATCACACTATTTGTGTTGTTTTAGATGTTCTTTTTTCAGTTTGCCACCTTCATGATAATTATTACATTGACTTCTTCCCTTGGTCAATTATATCTTCCATGAAAATTTGTGGATCTTTGCTCCATGCCATTTGCTTAACAGATGAATTGAGCTGCAATAGTCATAAGTAGTTCCCGCAAGCTCGCTCTCTCTCTTTCATGCAAAAGGATGAAATTTGCCTGCAAACATTCCACTAATTTGGCCAAAAATGACCAAATACCATGAGGTGTAAAGAAAAAATCTCCTCTTCTGCAGGATATTGTAGTATCAGTAGTTGGTGGGTAGTCTTTCAGTAGGAAAATGAAGAGCCGAATATGTCTGACCTCCATTTTTGTTACGTCACTGATCTCTAGCTGCCTGGAAAGAATCTGTGCATCAGTTTTTTTCAAGTCATTTTATTGTTACAGAAGTCAAAATATTTTCTTATCTTTTCGTGTAAGGCTCAAAAGAGGCATAGATATCAAGAGTGTGCCATGTTCATGCTGATCATTAATTTCCATATTTTATCTTGATCAGGTAGTGGAGAATAGCACAGCAGCAGAGAAGGCAATGTCCATTTCAGAGTTTTTGGACTTCAAGCGGAAGAACAAGGTCAGATTTCTCCAGCTATCATTTTGTTGTTCACAATTGACTCATTTTATTCTTTGTTTAATGTGTTTATACTTGTCTGATCATCCACTCAGTCTTTTGAAATATCTTTACCTGGTCACTGCAACCATTTGGACATTTTAATCGCCATGTTAACTGAATCTATGGCCTTGATTGGCCTGAGCTGTACCTTACCTTAATGTGCATATTTGACTTTTTGATACTTTCTAACCTTTGACTGCAGATACGTTCCTTTGTTGACAAATTGATCGAAAGGCATATGACATCGAATCAAAATAAGAAATCGTGAATCTCTCGACTGGTTAAACAGTCGACGTTTCTTACCCAGATTGCCCAGCCCCTGTCCAGCATCCGAGTTATCTGAAGTTTGATTAAAATCCATTATTCTGTGGGCATAAAAGGTATTACACCAGGGAGAAACTATAAACAGAGTCTTCATTATTTTATATATTCCATGGTGGACAATGGACTTGCTTGGGCATGCTGAGGTGAAGGGTTCTACGATCGAGTGGGAATGCGGTCCTATGTATCAGATAAGAGTGGTGATCTTGCAGTATATGGAACTCCATCCTATTGGATCAGGGTGATGCATTATGGCAACTACTGGAGTATCAGAGAATGATAGAATGTATGATGTGCCAAAGGCGCGGCATCATGCGTTGTGGTTCTGTTGTTATTAGATACGAGCTTCCGCAGGGCCCAAGCTCATGTTGATCAAAGAAAGAAAAGTTTTTGTTGGCTATCTAGGGGTTTCGCACTCCCAGTTATGCCTGTGTCTTTTTGGGGTTTTTTGTCTGATATCCTGGGGTTTTTTGTTCTCACATAGGACAGATCCCTCTTGCCCCAAGACTAGATTTTATCTCTTGTACAGAGAGCTATACAATTGTTTATCTGATACTGCAACAGCTTACATGTAACATGTAATGTTGCCCAATCTATGCTGCAAATGGAACCTCTGTTGCTCCAAAGCTTTCTCTGGAATACTCATTCCGGCGCAATTAATGAGTCGCTTTTGAAGCTGAGTTTTCTTTTCCAGCCAAAACATGTGGTTGATTCCATCGTCAGTTCGATCTGCAGCCACCCTTTTATTTAAAGGTTAAGGGGGGTTGACATAGACAATACCAAGTGAATGGCTATATATATCTAGGTACGCAAACTCACATATTTCTTCTTTTCTTTAATCTGCTTTGTCATTACAAAGAGAAGAATGATTTACAAGCAACTGTAAAATTCTAATTGAGAAGGGGTTGGTTTTTGCTCTTTCAGAAGTTATTGTCTTATGAAGTTTCTGTTTCTTTGATCCTTTTGCTATCAATTCCTTTGGAGAGGCAGACAAGAAAGAACTTGAATCTTTACTCGTCTTCTTACAGTCCCTCAATAGTGTCAGAAACATGCCCTATTGGATTCCTTTTTCATCTCCATTTGAGTAAGATTTTGCAGGTTGATTGTTTTACAGCTATCTGAGAATGATCTTTACCTTGGCTGTGGTCTAGAATAGAAAGGGGTTCTTGTGTCCTCGTTTGAGCTTTGTTGCATTTTTTTTCCTCAAGAAAGGACTCAAGGGAATCTCAGTTGATGTTGAGGTATTTTATTTTTACTGTCAAGTTTGGGATATATATGCTTTTTTATATTTCCCTTTCATTAGGATGATTACTAGGGATGACTATTGACACTCCTTCGGTTTGTTATCTTCTTTCCTCCCCCCCCCCCCCCTACACACACACACACAGAGAACCACCAGAGGGAAGATGTACAGATGTGAGGACTTGGTTTTTTTTTGTGTGTGTGAGAGAGAGAGAGAGAGAGAGAGAGAGAGAGAGAGAGAGAGAGAGAC